CCACCTCCGAGACCTCCATTTGAACTTCCAGATCCTCCATATCCACCTCCTAGACCTCCATTTGAACTTCCAGATCCTCCATATCCACCTCCTAGACCCCCATTAGAGCTTCCAGATCCTCCGTAGCTACTTCCTAGACCACCGCTAGAACTACCAGAACCACCATATCCACCTCCTAATCCACTTCCACTGGAACCACCAGACCCACCATATCCACCTCCTAGACCCCCACTTGATCCTCCTGATCCTCCATAGCTACTTCCTAGACCACCACTTGAACTACCAGAACCACCATATCCACCTCCTAATCCACTTCCACTAGAACCACCTGATCCACCTAGTCCACCATATCCTCCTCCAGTGCTACCACTTGAGCCACTTGAGCCACCAGAACCACCATAGCCACCGCCGAGACCCCCACTTGAACTTCCAGATCCTCCATATCCACCTCCTAGACCACCGTTTGAGCTTCCCGATCCTCCATAGCTACTTCCTAGGCCCCCACTTGAACTACCAGATCCACCATATCCACCTCCTACACCACTTCCACTGGAACCTCCTGATCCACCATATCTACTACCAAGACCACTTGAACCACCGTACGCAGCACCATTGTTGCTAGATCCACCACCATTAACATTATTGTAAAGGCCCCCTGCATTACCCCCACTTCCCCCTAAGCTTCCTGAACCACCAAAGCCCCCATTTCCACCATAACTATTTCCAGATTGGCGATCACCGGCATATCCTCCTACTGGATCAGTATATGTAATTTTAGGTTTGTATCCATCTTCATCAGCTTCATATTCAACAATTTGTGTTCGACCATCAGGTAGTAGTACATGATACACTCCAGTAGCTTCTTCACCTTGGCGACTTTCTTTATGACCAAAAATAGCACCGGATTCTGGCGCATTAACTTCGTAGGAAAATTCATAATTTGCTGGTTCCTATACAAAATATAACTTACTAATTAATTTGCTGGTTCCTATACAAAATATAACTTACTAATTAGATTTTATGAATAAAAAATATAATACAATTAAATATACATATTATATTGAATATTCTATAATAAAATCGATTCATTAAGAAAATTTAAGTTTTTCATAACGTTGTAATAATAATATTAAAATGAAAATAACTAAAATATTCATTATTTTAATTCATCATAAATGGACCACACTAAATTCATATTCACTAGTCATATAAGCCTTATATTATAAGGTATTTAAAAGTAATATAATTTCTAGGAAATATTATTATTAATAACCTTTATTATATATTATATAGGCATTATCATTACAATATTATTGATTTAAAAATAAAATAAAGTTGAATTTTGAAATTGTTTCTTGTGAAATCAATAGGTTGCTAAACTATTTTAACTGTAAACACGACAACAATTTAACTGTTCATGAGTGTAATGAATAATGAATTATTTTTCTATAAAAAAATGCTAAGATTAACCTCAATACAACATTTGAAAAAACACAAGTGTCTATATTTTAATTAAATTTTTTTGATTTTATTTTAGAAAATATTATATTAATATTTATCTAGGTTTAGTTAAATAGATTGTTTTATTAGAGTTACAGTTATATCAAAGTTTTCCTAAAAACAAAAAAAATATGAAGAGTAGTACAGATATAGTATAATTTAGAACGAAATTAACGGTTACTGAAGAATAATCATTCAGTGTACTGACAGAATTGTCAATAATAAATTGAAAACAAAAACAAAATTCAAACCCCAAATAAATTTTGAAGTATAGGTGTCTTAAAACCTAATCATTTTTAAAACTTTAAACAGTAGTGTAATTATAGAGATCAACAATGTTCTCAGCTTTGGATATTTAGATTATGTTTAACATCACTTAAAACTTAATTTGAATAACTTAGTTTATATTTTTAAGAATATTCGTAACAAAATCTGAATATTTTTCTTGAATGCTGAATGCACATAAAAATATGGAATGCATAGAATCATTTTTTTTATCGAACTTAAGCATCAGCAGACAGCAACTATGACCATTAGTATTTTGTAGTGGGGTTATGCTTGGTAGGGAACACGTACATTTGAGGCCGGGATTCGTCACTAAAAACCCGGGAACTAGAGAGGTCGGCTGATGCTTGACCTCAGAACACATTTAGTGATCAAACAACACCAGTTCGACATTCGGCCTCCCTAAAAACCAAACAATTTGTATGGAACTTACTATTCCAAATAATCTACTATGTAGTACTTATTTCACAAAATGACTATACCTACTACTAAGTATTAACTATTAATACTTAAATAATTATGTATAGGATAATTTTATAATTAATTATTGGATGAAACTTTTTATAAAAATAAAAATATTTATTAATATTTTATGGTTATATTTATCAAATTAAACTGTATATATAATGTTAAACTTACCGAGAGAGGATCGTTCCCTGATCCGCCTAGTCCATTACCATTGGCTCCTCCAAGTTGGTCATACGATCCAGAACCTCCAGATCCATAACCATCGTTATTTCCTGAAGATGCCCCACCAAGGCCTCCACCACCACTTCCATAACCACCAGAGGATCCACTTCCATAATTTCCAGATGATCCACTGCCGAAGCCTCCTGACGATCCTCCTCCATAGCTTCCTGACGATCCACTGCCGAAGCCTCCCGAAGAACCACCTCCATAGCTCCCAGATGATCCACTGCCAAAACCTCCCGAAGAACCTAATCCATAGCTTCCAGATGATCCGCTACCAAGACCTCCTGAAGATCCTCCTCCATAGCTTCCAGATGATCCGCTGCCAAGACCTCCTGAAGATCCTCCTCCATAGCTTCCAGATGATCCGCTGCCAAGACCTCCTGAAGATCCTCCTCCATAGCTTCCAGATGATCCGCTGCCAA